AGTAGATGTCCTTAAAGGGAACTCTTTCATTGAAACTATAACATCTTTGTAAAATTATTGAGAAAGAATTCTCAATTCTCTCAATTTTCTGGTGGAAAACTAGCTCCTAGAGTTAAGTTTCTAGCAGACCACCTTTCTGGTGAGATCATTGCAAAGGCTGGCTCTGACCAGGTAAGACTCGCTGCTGCGCAGAATGAAGCATTGCACAGGGGCTAGAGATATATGGGATGTTTTTCTCTCTGCATGAGCATCCTATTGACTAGATAAAAATATATAATCATATGTCACTAATTATAATATATCTTTTATATATATACACATACACATATATATATATAGAAGTTCACTCAAGTGAAAGGATCTCTTCATAAGTCTGCCATATTCTGTGTTCCTATCAGAAGAGACAAAACCCCTTCTAAAAACATAAGATCTTTACCCATTCTGTTTCCTTCAGCCAGCATCTGGTGGAGCCATTTCCCTGTAGCTCTTTTCCTACTTGTCATTCCCTTCAGCAGCACGTCCTAGTGAGAAGCAGAGCTGGTAACAGAGCAGTTGAAGAAAAAAAAATGTTTCAAATGCATGGTTTAATGTGAGGGCATATTGATGTGTGGGAAGAATAAAATGAGAGGACTTTGAACAGTAGGCAGAGTTCAGGTCAATCAGAAACATGAGAGGACACCACAAGTTTATTACAACACCGGTCCGGTGCAAAGTGAGGCAGAGACACTTCCGTAGTCTTTGTTTTCTTCGGCTGTATGTTGGCAGACTTACTGAGAGATCAACATCTTCTTCAGGTAACTAGGCAAATTCCTGCACACATACACACACTCCAAAAAAAAAACAAAAACAAAAACAAAAACAAAAACAAACAAACAAACAAAAAAACCAAGGGTCTCTGAAGGGAAAACGTGCAGTTGAAAAGCATATTTCAACAGCCTCCTCCTCTAGAGGATGCCTTTGGGGAAGATTGAGGGTATGAACAAGAATAAAAGATGAGAGGTCAGAGATTCAAAGCAGGTATAGAAGAGCAAAAGAGCATTACAACTTTCTCTGACATACCTGGAGTAGGAAGATGAGTAGGGCTGTTCCCTCTCTCTCTCTCTCTTGCCCTCTCCCAACCTCCTCTGTCTGTCCATGGTCCCATGGCTGCTGCAACATGGAGAGACATGACAAGGTTCTTTCATCTAAGGCAGTGTCTTCAGAGCAAAAAAAAAAAAACAAAAAAAACCTCTTCACTTTCCCCACACTGTCTTGAGTTATGGAGAAAGCTGCTTTTTAAAGATGGTTAATAGGTAATTCATGGATTAATCTGCACTTGTTTGTTCTTGGAGTAAAGTAGTCAATGTGAACAGGCCATCAGGAACACTGAGCCACAGAGAACAAGCAAATCAGGATGTCACTTCAGGAAAGAAAGCTTTACTCCAGAATTCAGTAAATTTATATTGCTCTACATGCTCTCTTGGTTTTCCAGGATGTGAAAATATCTGAACTGCAAATATGTACTGGACGTATGCTATTCCTTTTGGTTTAATTTTATCTTCCTTCAAAAGTTCTATAAAAGCTCAATAACATACAAAACGTTATTTCACATCTAAGGCTGCTCACGAAGATGCCAGACATGTACAGTATGCTTAAATAAAAGCAGTAAAAAACTTTCTGTAGTTTGGTATGCAAAAGGTAAATATGGATAAATGTAACTTGATATTAGCAGTCAAGAAATATAGGACCATTTTCCTCAGATTATTCAAGCACACCTATAGCAATCTATGTGCTAGGATATCGCTGTCATGTCTACAAAGGTTCTATGTAACAACACTCATGGTAAGACCTTAGGCTTCTTAACATGGATCTTTTACCCTTTCTGGCGCTAATGTATTGCTGAGGGCAAGGACAATTTATGCCATTAGCTGTTTCGGCTCAGTCCAACTCCTCGACAGTTGAACTGTCACACCTCACAAACACAATACCAGGAAAAGAGTTGATCAGTGAACTAAAAATAACTACATAAAGGAAATAAAACTGCTAAAATGACAGAAAACTTTTAATAGAAAGCTAATCTACATACAAACATACTTAGCAGGGGAGCTGAACACGTTGGCTTGCAAAGTTGCCCTAAGGATGGTGAAGTGTTTATGTGAAATATCTATAAGAATATAACACCTGAGCCACTCAAAAAACCTAGGGGAAAAGAAAACAAAACTATAGAAAAGCTGAGAAATGAACAGAGGAAGAGAGGACGAGGAAGATCTTTTAGCAGTCTTGAACAGAAGATTTCATATGAATGTATAGTAAAATGCATAGTTACCACTATCAGCAAGAATTCCTATGATATTTAATACTGGGTGATAAGGTCCTGAACTAGAGAAATAACAATCAAAGAGCAAAATAGTTTTAAGAAGGCACAAGTTTTACAGAGATTTCTGTCATAAAGAACTCATGTTTAAACTAATAAATAGAAGGGAAAAAAGTGATATATTTTCTTTTGTTTTCAAAAGTTTTTACTCCATTAACCATTTCAAATGATGCATTATGTAGATATATATTTCATTATGTATTACAGTGCATGGAATAATTTGTAAAATTTCAAGGACCTGAAAAAATAGAGCACCTTAGAATAACTGATTCAGCCTTGAAGTGGCTAAAGGGACCTGAGTGTTGCTGCTCCCTACAGTACTTTTACACTAAAACTTAACAGTGTCAGAAGTGAGAAGCCAAGTGTCTGGAAATCTATCCTTAAGATAATTAGTTTATGCAGGGCAAATTAAAGGCATAATTATACATAAAAATATTTTAGTCTATCTTGCATATTTAATTGATCCAGCTTCTATTTGCCACCAATAAAACACGATATATAGGAGAAAATACGGTCACCTAGGTGGAAAAGAAAAATAATTGCTCCGTTAAGGACTACTACACAAAAACGCCGCAACCCCTGTGTAAATACAGCAACTTTACCCGCAGCTACAGCTCCATGATGAGTGACATGAAAAGTCAAACATGTCCTGGCGATTCCCGCGGCCTAACACAGAACACTGACACAAACGCGGCACAACAGGAAATGTAGCGCCCACACCCCAGGCCGCCCCGTCCACCCCACAGCGCCTTTGTTGGAGCGACGCGAAATGGCGGCCGCGGCAGCGGGGAGGGCGGGGCGGCGGCCCCGGGACTCGCGCCCCCATTGGCCGCATTTTGCTGCAGACTCGCGCCCAGCGCCCCCGGCCGCGACCCACCCCCCGCCTC